TGATAAGAAAATATCTGTCCACCTACAAGGAACACCAGCTAATAGAAGTATTACTCAGATTGAACCATTAGACCAAATGATGAAGAAATTGAAAAGTTCCACCAACTTCTTTAGTCTGAAATTAGTCAAACATGCAATCCAGATTACTAGTGATTGAAATAATAAAGTTTTGAAACCAAGAACAATGACCAATAGTTGCAAAATATGTCCTTGGTGCCAGAAATGAAGCTGGAAATTGCATGATGGAATGTTGTATGATCCATGACTTCTTCATTACAAATAGCTTTCTGTAACCCACATAAAGTGTGACTATTTACGTGGGGGCTGACCAGAGAAAATACACAGGAATGAAGCTGACTACAATGGTGGGGAGAGACAATGAAGAAGCTCCATCTCCTCAGCCAAAATATACCATCAATGGCTCACAGATGAAAAATAAAAACAAATTCACAAGAGCCAAAATGTGAACACTAATGATAGAACACCTGATGAGTTGTGTTATGTCATCAAGATCATCATAAGGTAAGAAAGCAAAAGGTCACTAAAAAAATAAAAACAGAAAAGACCAAAATGGGTGTCAGAAAAGACTCTGGAATTGACTTTCAAATGGAAGAAATGATGAAGTACAAGAGTTGAACAAAAAATGTAAAGGGGCAGTTTAAGAAGACATAGTAAAGTATTATAATAAAATGTGCAAACACCTGGAGTTAGAAAACCCAAAACAACGAATACACTCAGCATTTCTTGAGCTAAAAGAACTAAAGAAAAAAATTCAAGCCTCAAGTTGAAATACTGAAAGATTCTATGGGCAAAAGAGTTTCTGATGCAATGACCATCAAAAGAAGACAGAACGAACGCAGAGTCACTGTACCACAAAGAATTGGTCGACATTGAAGCACTTCAAAAGGCATCATATGACCAAGAACTAATGAGATTGACTGATAAAAATCCAAACTGCATCAAAGAACAAAAATTATGTCATTGTGAATGAGGGGAGTGCAGATTGGAGACCCAAAGCCCATATGTAGTCAACTGGACATCCCCTTACAGAAGAGTTGCAAGGAGGAGACGAGCCAGTCAGGGTGCAGGGTAGCAACGATGAAACATACAAAGATCAGAGGATGTACACTGGCACATATAGGAACTGGAAACACAGGGAATCCAGGACAGATGATCCCTTCAGGACCACTGCTGAGAGTGGCAATACGGGGAGGGTGGAGGGAAGGTGGGGTAGAAAGGCGGAACCGATTACAAGGATTTACATATATCCCCCTCCCTGGGGAATGGACAACAGAAAAGTGGGTGAAGGGAGAGGTCTGACAGTGTAGGATATGACAAAATAGTAATAGCTTATAAATTATCAAGGGTCTATGAGGGAGTGGGGAGCGGGGAGGGGGGGGGATGAGGAGCTGATACCAAGGACTCAAGTAGAAATCAAATGCTTTGAGAATGATGAGGGCAACAAATGTGCAAATGTGCCTGACACAATGGATGAATGTATGGATTGTGATAAGCATTGTACGAGCCCCCAATGAAATTATTTTTAAAAAATCCAAGCTACATTGAAGGCATAAGTTAAAAAAAAAAAGACACCAGGAATTGATGGCATACTACTTGAAATGTTCCAACAAACTGATGCAGCACTGTAAGCATCCATTAGTCTAGGCCAGGGGTCCTCAAACTTTTTAAACAGGGGGCCAGTTCACTGTCCCTCAGACCCGTTGGAGGGCTGGACTATAGTTTAAAAAATAAACTATGAACAAATTCCTATGCACACTGCACATATCTTATTTTGAAGTCAAAAATCAAACGGGGTAAAAACACCCGGCAGGCCAGGTAAATGTCCTCGGCAGCCGCATGTGGCCCACAGGCCGTAGTTTGAGGACACCTGGCTATGCCAAGAAAGCTGGAAAATAACTACTTGGCAAAGTGACTAGAAGGATCCATATTTTTGCTCATTGCAAAAAAAAAGTGACTAAATAAAATGCTTAAATTATTGAGTGATGTCATTAATATCTCATATAAGTAACCATTCTGCCTAAGAAAAAAATTATTTTAAAGATTGCAGCAGTTCATGTACAGGCAGCTGCTAGAAATAAATTCATGCCAAAATCTAACATAAGTAGTGATAACTCTTCTTCAATATCATCTTCTAAATCTCTTTTCAATTTTTGGCAACTCTCTGTAGATGTTCTGCTGGAAAATTTAAAAAATTATCTTCAGTATAATTTTACTTATATGTGATATTAATGATATTGTTTATTAATATCTTCATTCTCTTGGGTCACCTTTCTTTGGAATGGGTACCAATTATAGCTTTTTCCAGCTTGTTGGTCAGATCAGTGTCTTCCGGATTTCTTACTCATGATGAATGAACACCTCTAGCATCACATCTCTTTATTGAAACATCTCAAGTGGTAACTTATCAATTTTTGAAGCCTGAATTTCTGCAAATGCTTTCCGTATAAACTCAGTAAAGGCCTTCTTCACTCCGTGCTGAGTTCTTGTTCAGATGCAAACTTTTTGAAATGGAGAACAGCAACCAATTCGTTTTGGTAGCATGACTCTCCCTTCCATTTTTTTATGATGCTTCTTGCAACGTGCACTATTTTGCCCATAGAAGACTTCAATAGTTCAACTTGAGGTATGAATATTTTCTTCCAAATTTTCAGCTTGAACTGCTTAGTATGTTCTCCCTTTCTGACTTCAGAGTTTTGCACATTTCTTTATAATATTTTGCATTCTTTTCTTGAGCTGCGTTTTAAATTTTTCTGTTCATTCTTTTGCTTCATTTCTTCTATTTCCTTTAGCTATTCCATATTCAAGATAAAGTTTCATTCTCTTCTGACACCCACTTTGGTCTTTTCTTTATTTTACATCTTTTTAATGGCCTTTTGCTTACTCACGTATGACGTTCTTGATTGTTGTACTATCACTCTTAAGGTCTTCCATCAAATCAGTTCTTGAAATGGCCTCTTAATGGTCATTTATTCAATGACCATTTATTCAATGATCATTTATTTAATTAATGGTCACATTTATTCAAGGTCATATTTTGGTTCTCATATACTTGTTTTAATTTCCTTCAGCTTCAACATGAACTTTTAAAAAAAATCATTTTATTATGGGCTCTTACTGCTTTATCACAATCTATACATCCATCCATTGTGTCAGGCACCTTTGTACAAATCAACCTGAACTTTCATATAGCAATTTAAGGTCTCTTCTACATGACATTGAGCTTCTCCACTTGCTTTTTTACAGGTTTAAGAGATTTGATTCCTGTGTACTGCTTCTATCAAAAGCCAGGTATACAGTCATCATTTTGTGGTCCATATAATACTATAGACTCCCTGAATATCACGACTATAAATACACTTTAAAGGGTCACTTAATAACTACACACGCATACACACACCTGAATCTCTGCTTCCTCCTCCCCATGCTTCCTTCGACAGCTCGTCTCTCTAAGCATCTTTAACTCTCATCTTCTTCATGTTGCCCTAGACTCTCCATTTTTAATCCCAACTTTGCACCATAGGGCCACAGAAAACACTTTAATTTTCTTAACTTCCTGGCAGCTCTTCTAATGCTTAAAGACAATGCTCAGGTTACCTCTGAATTTTCTCTTCTCTCCAGCTCTCCTTCCACTCTCTTCTCATTTAAGAAATTTCTGAATCATCTTACCATTGTACACGCTCTGATCGGGTTTCTATTTGTCATTGCTCCTTTTACAGTATAGATTCCAGAGATGCACACTGTACTTCAGGTGGGAATTGAGCACCCCAGAGACTAGGAATTACTAGGAATTAGCATAGAGAAAAGAGTCACCAAACTACTTTTTTAGGCACGATGGGTCATGCGGCCTCTGTTGCAACTCCTCAGCTTTGCCATTGTACCACCAAAGCAGCCATACACAATGTGCAAGCTAATGGGCAAGGCTATGTCCCAATAAAACACTGTTTCTCCATCTCAGAACCATTGCGTTCAGGAGCCAGATAATTGGGGGAGGGGGGGCATCAAAGGGGTTATCTTGTGCATTGTAAGACACTTAGCAGCATCTCTGACTTCTACCCACTGGATGCCAGTAGAATGCCCTATCTCTAGATAGGATAAGCAGAAGTGATTCCCTTCGGGGACAAAACTTGCTCCTGGTTTAGAACTACTGTGGTAGAATGGTATGCACAAAAAGAGACAAAGGTCAGATTTGTATCGCAAGCTCAAGTCTGCACACTCCTGGCACAGAACTAAAGGGGACCGGCATCTTTCTAAATATTTGCCCTTTTAACACATCCCATGATACATGAAGCCCTAGTGGCATTGTTGGGTAAGTGTTTGTCTGCTAGCCCCACGGGTGGCAGTTCAAACCCACCAGCTGCTCTTTGAGAGGAAGGCGGGGCTCTCCTAAAGATTTACAGACTGGCAAACCATAAATAGGATTGCCATGCATCAGAGTGACCCAATGGCAGTGAGAGATGAGGCGTTCATTATAATGCATCAACTTCCTTCCGCTCATACTCCTGGCCATACTCAACTGATTGCCATCTAAGGTGTCACCTCGGAAGTAAATTACTTCTCTCTGGGTTGGCAGGCTGCTATGTGCTCAGAGTTTGGGGTACATTTTCCTCAGCTGCATTGGGCCACACCTGTCATGCAGACAGGAATTGGAATTTTGATACCAAAAATGGCTTCACCAAAATGATATTGTAAAACAATCCAGATTTATTTATCTGTTCATTCACCGAAGATGTGATATTTGGACCCACGCTAGTCCCAGCTAGATAATGTTCCAAGAGTTGACACTTAGCCAGGAAGAAAGGGGTGATTTTGTACATAGAAGTGAATCCAAGCCAGAAGATTCACCTATTGAAACAAATGATTAGAACCAATTTCCAGTTCTCAGAAGGAAAAATCTCATTGGTCATTATACCCCTGCAGGCATTTTATGAAACATATTAGATTACAATGGCCAAAGAAAGAACCTTAAAAGAAGGACTGACCTCCAAGTCCAGGTCGCAGCCGGTTGTCATAGCCATCCAGAAGGCGATCTAAGATTCGGGTGAAGATGGTGATGTTGTCAGTGCTGTCATCAGGAATATCAGGGGCATGCTTAGGAGAGAGTCTGAGGGGTTGCAGGGGAAAGAGAAGAAAACAGGAGTTCTTAAGGGAAAATAAATGACAAGTCTAAACATTTTAATTTGAGAGGATCTTAATTCATGAGAAAACTGACTAGCCCTCCATCTTAAGCAAGCCAGCAAGCATTTCCTCTTGGTCACAATGGTTGCCTGTTTATGAGGCAGACAGTGGTCAGTGTACTTAAGTTCTTACTCCAGCATTGGCAGGAGCTTTACTGCTGTCCCATCCCAGCAATGGAGAAATACAAGCAAAACTCCTTGACAGATTTTTCTGGGCACAGTAGCTAGCATACAGTGGATATTCATCAAATGTTGACGCATGAATGGACTAGCCTCCGAATCAAAAAGGAAAAATGAGTAGCTGAGAATGTCCTCCTCTTCTAGCCCAGAAAGAAATAAACTGATAGGACAGAGCCTTGAACTACATCTAATCTACTACCACTCCCATCCCCTGGTGATAGTACAGCCAAGCAGTAATAACAGAGTAAACGTCACAGCCACCGGGACGTGTAAGAGCTTCCCTAATCACTATCATTCTACAAGGGGAAACAGACTCAGAGGGGAAACCAAATGCACCCAGGGTCATATTGCTAGTGAGAAGCAGCGATAGGACGATAATCCATGGTTTTCCAGTACCCTCGTGTCTCGGAGTTACCTCCCCGCTCCTTTGGTGAGACTGTCTTCTGCAAGCCTTCAGAACACTAAGGCCTTGACTGACCACCTAATCTGAGCAGACAACGAGACGAATGCATTCACTCCATGAGGAGGAGCCTGGTGTAATTTGAAAGAACGAGAGAGAAGTGTCCTCGGTACCGCAGGGGAGCAATATCATGGATCAGAATTACAGTGCAGAATCTAGTAATGAACGAGGGGTCAGAAACCCTGGGTCTTAGCACTAGCTGTATGTGTATTTCGGGGAAAACCGTTAGGTAAGTTACTGGAGTTGTTTTCCTCATTGTTAATTTGGATCTATATGGTTGATAGTAAGTATATAATTAAGGTATTAAGTATACAACTACCTGAATTATTCAACTATGTAGATCATAACAAACAGGATATGGACCGCCCTGGAAAGAAAGGGGATCCAGAGCACTTCCTTGTGCTCGTGGGGAACTTGTACACGAATCAAGAGGCAGCTGTGTGAGCAAGGGCATACTGCATGGCTTAAAATTAGGAAAGAAAAAAAAATTAGGAAAGATGTATGACAGGGTTGTCCCATCTCACTATTCTTGTTCAATCTGTATGCTGAACAAATCATCAGAGAAGCTGCAGTATATGAGGAAGAATGTGGCATCAGGACAGGAGGAAGGCTTATTAACAACCTGTGATATGCAGATGACACAGCCTTGCTTACTGAACGTGAGGAGGACTTGAATCTCTTGCTGATGAAGACCAAGGATTGCAGCCTTCAGGATGGATTACAACTCATTGTTTACAAAACAAAAATCCTTACAAACTGAGGGGAAAATCCTCACAATTGGACCAATAGGTAACATCACGATCAACAGAAAAGCTGGCATTGCTTGGATCCACAATCAATGCTCAGGAGAGCAGCAGGCAAGAGATCAAACAGGACTCTAGGCAGCTTCCGGAACACAACTGCCCCCTATGCCACACCCTCGCTCTTCAAGGTTACCCAGCTGGCCTCCTGGCATTCATGCAGCGCTGGACAGTCACTCGGAGATCAAGATCAAAACCAGCTTTGTGAAGTGATTGGTCAAAGAAGAAGTGATGTAGCAAAAAGAAGCCAAACAGCAAGAAGATTGAAAAAAATGAAGACCGAAGATGGTGAAAAGGATGCCATTAACAAGCAGGTAAAGATTTTGCAAGGGTCCCAGGTGATAATACCAGATTGGCAGCACCAGTGGGAAGCTGAATATACTGATCTTCTGCAGCTATTAGAAAGTGAAAAAGACTTGGAAGAAGCTAAAGATTTTAAAGAAGCACATTTAGTCCTGGATTCAGTGAAGTCAGAATCCTGAAACGTTTCTGTATGGGTGCTGGTTTTTTTTTGCCTTAAATGCTGAGATCCATTCCACAGTTTGCTGTTTGTGACCCCTGCTGTGTTCTGTTCAAGTAGACTGAGAATGTGATTCTTTTTATACAGTTGAATATATTTCATTGCCTAATTTAAGGTGTCAACTAAATCAGTTCATCTAATAAAAATCAATCAATGCATTGGGTTAAAAAGCAATTTAATTTGAGGATTAAAGTGCTCCAGGGGCCAAGCCATGGTATTTTCAATGGCTTCCTATGCATTAGAAACCTCGACATTGAATAAGGAAAACCGAAAGAGAATCTATGAGTCTGAATGATGGTGCTAGGGAAGAACATGTGCTGTAGCATGGCCTGCCAAGAGAACAAACAGACCTGTGTTGGAAAAGAACAGCCAGAATGCTCCTTAGAGGGAAGGATGATGAGACATCGTCTCACATTCTTTGGACATGTAATGAGGAGAGAGCAATCTTTGGAGAAGGACATCGTGCTTGGTAAAGTAAAGGGGCAGGGAAAAAGAAAAAGGCCTTTTACAAGATGGATTGGCACAGTGACTGCAATGATGGGCTCAAACATAAGAACAATCGCGAGTATGATGCAAAACCAGGCCATGGTTCACAGGGTTGTGGAAGGTTCCTAGGTTCTGTTGTGCATAGGGTTGCAAGGGATCAGAACCAGTTTGACAGCACCTAACACCACCTTAGTTATTAATAACCCAGTTCTAGGATAGTGATGATTGTATATGGTCAAGAACTTATGGTACTGAGGGAAGAAGTCCAAGCGGAACTAAATACTGGAGAAAAACAAGGCTCCACTAATTGGCAGGGCACCAATTGAAATGTTTCAACAAATGTATGCAGTGATTGAACCGTGAACAACTCTTTGTCAAGAAATGTGGAAGACAGTCAACTTGTAGCGATCCATACCTATGCCCATTCCAAAGAGAGATGGCCCAAGATTATGTGGAAATTAATCAAGAATATCATTATCATCACTTGCAAGTAAAATTTTGTTAAAGATCATGCAGCAGCACTTGCAGCAATACAATGACAGAGAGCTGCCAGAAATTCAATCTGGATTCAAAAGAGCATGTGGAAGGAGGGATATGATTGTTGTTGTCAGAAGACAGATCTTGGCTAAAAGCAGAGAATATCAGAAAGATGTTTACCTGTATTTTATTGACTACAGAAAGTCATTCTACTGTGTGGGTCATAATAAACCATGGCTAACACTGCAAAGAATGGGAATTCCAGATCACTTCATTGTGTTCATGAGAAACCTGTACAAGAGGCAAAAATTGGAAAAGAACAAGAGACTATTGAACGATTTAAAATCAGAATAGGTGTGTATCAGGGTTGTGTCTTTTCACCATACTTTTTCACTCTGTATGCTGAGAAAATAATGTGAGAAGCTGGACGAGGCCAAGGGAGGGGAGGAAAGGTCCCTAACAACCTGCTATATGCAGATGACAGACTGTTGCTTACTGTAAGCAAAGAGAACTTGAAGCACTTACTGATGAAGACTGAAGCCTTCTGTATGGATTAAAAGTCAATGTAAAGAACACAAATCATCCCAACTGGATCTACAGACAACATCATGATAATTGGAGAAAAGATTGGAGTTGTTGAGGCTTTCATTTTACTTAGCTCCATAATCAACACTCACTGTAGCACCAGTCAAGAAACCACTACATTGGACAAATCTGACACACAAATCCAATGGAAAGCATTAAAAGGAGAAGATATCACGTTGAGGGCTAAGGTGCACCAACATCACACTGTTTTCAAAGACCTCAGATGCATTTGGAAGTTGGATAACACATAAGGAAGACCAAAGAAGAATTGATGTCTTTGAATTATAGTGTTGTTAAAGAAAATTGAAAGTACCCTGGATGGTCATAAGAATAAGCAAATCTGTCTCGCAAAAAGTACAACTAGAATTCTCCTCAGAAGCAAGGATGGTAAGATGTCAGTCCATGTATTTAGAACATGTTATCAGGAAAAATCAATCCCTGAGAAAGGACATCACACTTGGTAAAACAGATGGTTGCCAAAAAAGAAGAGTTTGAATGAGACAGCTTGCCACTGGCTGCAACAATGGGCTGAAACATAACAACAATTGTGAGGATGGCGCAGGACCCAGCAGTGTTCCTTTCTGCTGACTAATACTCACCTAATAAAAGGACGACCCTTATTAATTAGGGCCATAAAAGACAAATGCTACTAGTTAGAGGCATTCCTAAGAGATAGTATGTCTTACCATCAGTATTTGTCCCGAGCAGTGAAAATGGTTCCCGTTCTGAAAAGATTCGAGAAGAAATCTACAGAACAGTGGAAAAGTCAGAATTGAACTCGCACTAGCTGGCAGACTTGCGAAGGTCATTTTGAACCCCATTTCCTTCATTCATATACCAAATCCCATCATTTAATCATTCAGTTCATTTTATTGAGTACCAACTATGTATCTATTACTAATCTACATGTTTTGATGGAACAAACATAAAATAAATGAAAACAAAGCTAATAGTCTTCCCCTGGCTCACTTACAGAGTAGTTGAGAGAAACAACTGGCAAAATGGACTCATATAGAAGGGAACAGGGACTCAAGTTTAGACAGTTTGGAAACAAATATGTAATGTAATTTATTGTGACCTTAAGTAAGTGATATAATGCCCTTCTCATAAATAAAATGAAAGCAATTTCACAGATATGATATGTTAATATTAAAGAATGCTGTATATGAAAATTAGCAGGTATAATGCCTAATGTCTCAATCACTGCCTAGTGGACTATGACTCAGGGTGTCCTACAGGACAGGGGAAAACGGCCCCTGGAGGTTTCCAAGACAAACTGTGCATGTGAGGAGAAAGCGTCCTCTTTCTCCCGAGGAGGCTGCTGGCTTCACACTTCTGACCATGCAATTATCAGCCCCAAGAGTGATCACCATGACTCTTCACCTGACAACTAGAAGTAACCAAATTTGTTTTCTTTAT